GCACACTTTTGGGAGATATGACATGTCTGCACAACTCGTTCAAACCTGGAAACATGGAGAGTCAAACATACCCCATTTACGGCTCAAAATGACTGTCACGGTTGTCCCGAAAATCGTGCTTTTGGGATTTTTGAAAAATGCGTTTGATTTTGAATTATGGGTAATTGAGTGCGAAAAAAGCCAAAAAAATCGATTTTTTGAACTATTTGTCAACAAAAACTATACGTATAGTCAGAAATTAAAAAAATCACAAAAGCACGATTTTTCGTCTTATTCGTAGTCGTCAAAAAACATAAAAATCAGTGATCTTGCGTAATATGTGTAGCCAGGTTTGCTCGGTGATTGGCTAAAATATGACGCTGCGAAATCCCGAAAATTGTCGCCTTTTTTTAACGAAATACGAAAAAATCATCCATTTAGCGCAAAAAATCACCATTGAATGTATGCAAAGACAATAATCTTATTTTATTTCAACGAAATTTTCCCTTCGATACTAGTTTGTTTATTTTCAAATGTTTTACGGTTAGCCCAAAATTGCGTCTTGTAACCCGATACTTTATCGAACGCCCCCGGCAATGGGAAAGAATGCCGTAGTGACAGACCGCCGTGATTATAGGTTTTCCGCAGGTTGACCTGTGCTGCTTGTACATTCCGTGTAGATGCTCTGAGTGTTGCTTTCCTTGCTGTTACTACTGGATCAGCGTCTCTGGTATCTTGAGCTCGGCGAGGTTTACGTGGTAGCAATTCCTTGCCGGTTTTGTGGGCAATGTTAACAAAAGATGTGTAGTTTTGTTCAGACAGGGGTAAGTTTTTTATAACGAGATTTGACTGTATCCTCTATCTTGGATGCCAGTTGCTTGTTCTTTGTAACCGCACTCCAGAAAAGCTTCTTTGAGGCTGCATTCATGGACACTCTAAGGCTGAGTTTAACCGTGGCAGTCACAATTCGATGGTCGCTACCGACTGGGTTCGAAGAGGAATATGCCTGGCAGTCCTTAACACTGTTGAGCCATCGTTTACGGTAAAGACAGAAATCTATCTGGGAGCGGTCACCCTTTGGTGATCGAAATGTCCAAAGTTTGCGGCTAGGTTTGCGAAAGGAGATGTTACAGACTACAAGGTTGTGTTGCTCTATAAAGGTGTTAAAGAGCAGACCGTTACGGTTTGATACCTTGTGGATGGAATGACCCTTTGCAATTTGAGCATTCATATCACCTCCTATGAATAACATGGCATGTGGCGGAATACTCTCGACTGTGTTGCTCAATTTTGTGTAGAAGTCATTCGCAATGTCATCCGACAAACTGTTGTGTGGGGCATGACAGGAGACAATTACAGATGCTGGGTTGCCCTTAAACCTGGCAACAATTATACGTTCATCAATTTTTCTCACAGAGAGTAGTAGTGGGAGAATTCTAGCATGGACAGAAATGCCAACTCCGCGAATGGCCGCCCCGGTTTTGTTTCTACTTGCTGAAGCTGTAAACAGGGTTGATGTTCCCATATTCCGGGCAACTATTTCTTCAGTCGAGACATTGTGGACAAAACGGTGTTCTTGGATGCAAATAATAGAGATATCGTAATCATTCATAAGTTTGTCAAGTTCTACTTGCGATGAGGTTGTCTGTAGAGTTCTGCAGTTCAATGTCGACAGCTTGTAGGGCTGATGGAGTCTGAACAGACAGGTCCTCATTTGCATAATTTATGAGTAAATGATAGAATGGCTTTCTTTGTTAAGATACAGTACAGCTTGCGTTAGAATTAACGGGTAACGCGTTACTCACGCGGTACTCACGCGGTACGTATCGTGTCATCGCTTCGTAATCGCTGCGTTAGCGTTACGTGATCGCCGCGTTAGCGTTACCTCGTGATCGCGTCACCCGTTAATTCTAACGCAAGCTGTACTGTAAGGCTGTCTTTTGGTGGAGAATATGATCAACTGATATAATTCATGCAAATGAGGATCCTATTTGCATAATCAGGAGGAGTAATCTTTACTTTGTCAGTCATAAAGATAAACATCATTTGGCGAAGGTATGAGATCGTTGAACTCTAGTAGATGTATTCGCGTCTTCTTCAGCAAGTGTTTAAAAGTGCGTAACACAAGCTGATAATAATCGCATTATCCATGTTTCCCACGGTTTACAATAACAACCTAAGAAACTGTAATTTGATTTAATTAAATTGTCAGGCCAGCTTGACTGTCTATCAACAGTGGTCGTTTAACGTACAATGATTTTACAGAAGAATACACAGAATAGAGGGATGAGTGCAGCATACAAATGGGTAGAACATGTTGTCATTGTTGTGCAATGTGTAACATTAAAGGTGCCGAATGTAGTTTCACTGCTTCAAAAACAGATTTTTCAAAGTGTAACTTTCTAGTCACTTTTCTACATTACTTGAAACAACACTATATCCCAATTTACATTGACATTCTTGGAGCATGAATTCCAAAAATAGTCACGGAAACAGTTACTGATATAGGATCCTGGTCTGATTATTGGGGTACCACCCAGAAAATAAAGGACTCATCTTGGGGCTTGTTTCTGTGCTGCTTTACATGCCCAAAGTAAGAAATATAACGTTATACAGAATGTAAATGTGCTAATGTGGGGCAGTATATATAGAATACAACACGGTGTATTCCGTATCGCCCGAGGTACCAGCCC